ATTTCACTGACTGCAAGGGGGATACATCCTGACACCTGGACGGGACCATATTACATTTTACTTCTTCTCTTTACTTTACTTACTGTACTTTACTTCACTTTACTTACATTTCGACTGCTTCTTCTCACTCATTTTACAGTGTTCTATGCTTGCTAGACCTTACTCTAAATATATGTGTTCTTGTTGAAGTATTGTAAGTTAAAGGTGCTGTCTGCACTGCTAATGCTCTCTGTAATTTTGTAGGATATCTTGGCACAAGTTCTACAGATACTCTTGAAATCCAAATTGCTTGTAAGTACTCCTGCTTTTTTATGGCTGCTTAACACTCAGCAACACGTATCGAGGGATGTGTATTTATTGGTTTGTTTTATTCATTCCTTGCAGGTTTTGGAAGATGAAAATGCAAATGTTGATGAGGTGGAGTTAAAACCAGATACCTTAATAAAACTGTATCTTGGTTATAAAAAGTAAGGAAAAACTTCAGCAGCATCCATCATTTGTGTGTAATGGGGAGCATCCTCCTCTGCTTTCAATTTGGGTAAAACCTAAAATACGTGGGATGAAAGTTCCAGGGTTCAAGTGATAATTCACATATAGACCCAACATTACCAGCCTGGGGGGGGTGGGTAAGGTTTCAGCTGTCTTTGACTTTGTCATGAAGTCTCTCAAAGCCTGGATGTCCTTCTTGTGCCTCAATTCTTGTCTAATTCTTGTCTAATTTATCTCTGGTAAGAAATGGTGCTGGTTTGTACCAAGGTGCATGACTTGCATGCACTCAGCAAAAGACATTATGGTTTGTAAGGTTACAGTAGTGTACAGTGCCCAACAAAGGTCAAAGTCTTAAGTGCTTGTCCACTAGAGGGAACAGGAGATCAGCAGGTTCAGTTTAGAACTTCAGAGTGAGCAGTGGTTGGGGAACTTAACAACCCTCAATTATCAGGAGGTTTTCTTACCTACTTTAACCAGTGTTCTCTCAATGTGTGTTTTCAGCTCTTCACAGTACTGTGGTGACTTCTTACCATGCTTACCAGAGCATAGACATAAACACACACACATTCAGTGAGGAGTTCAGTACTTCCTGAGGATAAGATCTGAGCAAAAGGAACATTTTAAACCCTTTCCTTGTACCTCACTCTTTATCTGTTTTCTTCCCTCCTTGACCAATAATTAAAGGTTAGGAAATTCCTGGTCAGTTGTGTTAAGGCAGTGATGGAAGCAGCTCAGGGTCACTGTACTGCATGGCTCGGTGGTTCCCAATTTACGGCACACAAGACTACACTAGAGTAACAGATCCCCTCTCCACTCCAGCATTCCCCATGCCCTGGCTTTTTCTGGAGTTGGGTTTTGCTCAGGGTTTGTTTGGTTTCTAAACAGGCTCATTGTTTTATTGACCTCTGGTGTTTTCCTTTACAGCAAGAAATTAAGGGTAAACATCAACGTGCCAATGAAGACTGAACAGAAGCAGGAGCAAGAAACTACACACAAAAACATAGAGGAAGATAGGAAACTACTGATTCAGGTAACTTGCATTGGAGGATGCTCCCATGCTGTGAACTTCAGAATTACAGTGTTGTGATCCTTTAATGAAATTCATTGTGGGGTTTTCTTGAGTTCTATTAAGAGACAACGGGCCATTGCATTGCACTGCGTCAGAGCTAAAACTGTATTTACTGTGCTCTTAAGGGTGACTGCAGTCTGTCATAGAAAACCATAGTATCACAGACTGGTTTGGGGACTCTAAAGCTCATCCAGTACCAACCTCTGCCACGGGCAGGGACACCTTCCACTAGAGCAGGTTGCTCCAAGCCCTGTCCAACCTGGCATTTCCAAAATGTGGAAGGCATGGTAGGACACTGTTCTTCATGTTTGCTTATATCATGTTGATGAGGGTTTGGGTTCTGTGGATGCAGACACCCCCTGACATCCGCGCAGGGTGAAAACCAGGTAGCATGGATTTAACCGTGTGTTTTCTATCAGTTCATCTGGGCTCCACTTGAGAAGCAAAGGGGTGGGGGAAGGAAATACAAATGTGCTACTTAAGAGTGTCACAGTAAGGTTATATATATAAAGTAAGGCTTTCTGTTACCTAAGTGTGGTTTCATGTAGCTCTTGGTACCAGTTGGTACTATTGTTATGACTGACCATAAGCATAGTTTGTAACATTCGTATGTCAAAACCACTTCTGCTGACTGTATGCTGTGTAGAATCTGAGTGCTTAAAGTCTGTGTGAGTAGTGGACATCTGTAGGCATGCTTCTCCCCCTCTGTGCTCAGGTTTGCTGTGATGATGCTTCTTGTGCTAGCAGACATGATCTGCTGGGGAAGTAAAAATGGCTTTATCCAGCAGCAGGACAAGTAGTTTGCTCCTAAGCACCTTTCCATCTTTGCTGTGCAGGCTGCTATTGTGAGAATCATGAAAATGAGGAAGGTTCTAAAACACCAGCAACTCCTTGGAGAAGTGCTAACGCAGCTGTCCTCGAGGTTCAAGCCACGAGTTCCAGTAATTAAGGTGAGAACCACAGCTCTAAACCCGTGTTCCAGAAGGTGAGGAGGACATAGACTGAATACATGCTGCTGAATTAAAAAGGAAAGCCAAGGAGATGGGGTGGGTAGAGACAGATTTTTGGAGCTGTAAATAAGTAGGAAATATTTCAACCAGAAATAGGGTGTTTATAAAATGCGTGTTTTGTACTGTTGGCAGTGGTAAAATAGCAGCTTGATTGCATCTTTCCACATCAGTGCCAGCTTACAGTCTTCGCTCCAGGCTTACCTCTTTTTCCTGCTTTCCCAGTTGTGGGAGTTCCACTGCTGGTGACCCAGCTCAATAGAAAGTTTCGTGCTCTCTCCTAAAACAAAGAGGATTAGTGAAGTCCTCTGCTTGATGTGGTCAGAGTTGCCCTGGTTTGTGCCCTTTGCCTACTCCCCTCCTTCACTTGGCAGGAAGCTCGGTGGCCAAAATCACTCGCAGGTTGTAGCAACCATAGAGGGGTGTCCCACCACTTGCGTTTGTTCCTCCCACAGAAATGCATCGACATCCTGATCGAGAAGGAGTACTTGGAACGTGTAGATGGTGAGAAGGACACCTACAGTTACTTGGCTTAACGTTTTTATTAGCAATTACTTGACTGTGTGACACTCGGCAAATAGGTATGTGATGGAAAGAACGAAAGCAACGGAACTTCATAGCAGCCACCCTGCTGCCATTTGGACCTCCCTTTTTAATACCTGAGACCAGGACTCCCATCAGCCAGTCTCAGCTTTACATCAGAACTGCTCAGGATTGATACATTTCAAGTATGTAAATATGGACACCAATGCCATTTAACCTAATTTAAGAACAGAAAGGAATCAAACCCTTCTCCTTTAAGGGTTGCATGCTACTGCATTTAAATCAATACATTGGCTATAGGATAAACAGCTGCCATCCCAGGCAGCACTTAGAAATGTTGGCAGCACTTTGAGAGCGAGTCTGAATGGACCCATGTGTAATCTGCTATGAAAACCCATTTGTATAGTGTGTTTCATTTTTTAATGTGTGATAAATAAAAAACAAAACAAAAAATTAAAAGATTTCTGTACAAGTTGCATTTGGTTTTAAGTTTCATGATTTATCTTTCTAAATGTAAATAAAAGGTATAATGGTTATGAAAGCTGTAGAAATTCGTTTCACTTCTCCTCCTTTGCCAGGGCTTCTGGCGATTTAAGCACACTTTGTTCTTTTAAGCAGTGAATTGTCATCTACCATCAAATGTGTTATTTCTTTTTTGAGAGGAAATAGCTTTGAGCAGAAAAGAAAGTTGTGATGATTTCACAGGGTATGCAAAATAGAAAACACTTAAGCACTTAGAATATACACAGCAGTACTTGCTGATCTGATAGTGGAGGGGTTTCTAATGTTGTTTAATATACTGTGAAGGGCATCGCTTCTGCCTCAGTGCTGCCCTGTATGAAGAAGGTTTTGGCTACCCCTTTCTTTGACTAGGACAGAAAATTGAGTGTTCCTGAACATTAATGACCATGAAATGCAGCCTGTGATGAGAATTAAAATAGCTTGGAGTGTTACTGCACCTGTATTGAGGGACCAGACTTCATTCTTCTCACACTGTTGCGTGTTCATTTGTGCATGTGAAATTTGGCTTTCGCCGCTGCCATCCTCACAGGTCTCCCTTTTGGTAACTTAAAGAACCAAATTTTTGCAGCCAAACCCTTCTTTTCCCCCCTTAGAATGTGGGTTCTACTCAGTGTTTGTTCTGGCATGAAGGGAGCCGGGTTTTGTGTCAATTCTCATTTTTCTCTGAGGGGAATTGAACTTTTCATGGTTACAATGGAGCTGTGACCTACAAGGCTGTGGGTTAAGAAAATAAAATAATGGAGCAGTATTAGATGTGATCCAAATGGATTTGGAAAATGGGAGATGAGTCTCAGCCCCACTTGAGCTTTTGCATGCTTGCTGTCCCTATTCAGAAAGAACTTCTTAAAATTGCCCTGAGGACTGCAGCTTGGGTAATAGAAGCCTCTTGATGTTCCTTTTTCAAATTGCATCTTGGAATTTGGAAGACTGGAGCTTGTGCTGCTGTTTGTGCTGGCTTTACAACGCTGTTTTGTGTGGTTTGCGTAGCCTCTTCAGGCAGAAAGCTTTGAGTTAGTAGGTTGTAGCAGGGTATAAGAGTGGTGGGGTGAAAAGAAACAGGCTGAATGATTCAAGGCTCAAAGCCCAGCCTTAGCCCTTCACTGGTTAAAGCAGTTTCTCTGTACATGGTGTATGAGGTAAGGACTGATGCGGCTTAGCAAAAGCAGAGAAAAACTTTTAAACACTGATATTGTGACAAGAGTTTGGTTGATGATCATCCTCACTGATGTCTCCTGCACTGTCTTTCTTCATATTAATCAAGGAGCATTAACAGAATAGACAAGCATGTACTTGCCTTTGCTCAGAAGCTGAAGGGCAGAATTCCCGTTGCTTCCTCAACTGGCTGACACAAAATTCCAACACAGTTCCAGTAAAAATGAAGAAGTTCAAGTATCCTTTATTCAAGGTTGAAAAATGTACCACACCACGTTATTGCAAAAGTTCATAGGTACAAAACACTTTGCAGCTGGTGAGAAGGCAATAAAAAGTTGGGGTTGGTTTGAAATTTGTTACTATAAATTACAGTTACAGTACTCTGCAAATACAGAATTGCAAATTGCATTTTTGTTTTTACTAAAATTGCCCACAGTACTAGAAATTCCTGAAGATAAGGCAGCTGTTTGTTTAAAAGAAGAGGTAGCTGGTGTCAAGGGATTTCCATTTCTCTTTCAATGCCCACATACTTAAGGGCATCAGCTTGGCTATATCTGAAATTAAAGAAAATAAAACCAAAAATCAAGCCCGGTAACACAGAACATTTTCACTTTGTTCTGACACAAAAAAGCAGCACCGGAGCCCGGTCACAAGCTGGGGCCCTTAATCCTTGCATGCATTAGCTGATGCAGAATAACACTGACACTACTCCAGAAACTGCTTTTAGAGCAGTTTGACCAAGAGGAAACATCACAGTGGAATCTCACAATGCTGAAGTTCTTTTTGGCTAGTGGAAAGCAGCTGCATTTCTCAAGGTTGACTGACTTACACAGTGTCATGACTGGACAGCTTAGCTTTCTTCAAGGGAGATGACTTCAGAGGAAATTACAAACACAACCCTAACAAGCACTTCTCTAATAACACAAGAATACTTCTTCCCATTTCTGAACACCAGCGGGTACCTAGGGCACCCAGCCTGATGAAGGCTGTTGTGCAGGTTTGTCCTTGTTTGTCACTAAACTTTGCTCTATACAAGCTGCTGTTCCAAGTTTGCAAAGCTCTTAACCAGCTGCTTTCTCAAGTCATTCTTACTATACTATCTCATATTAATATCTGTGCAAGGGGACTGGTTCTCTGCTGTTGAGACCTGATGCTGTAAAGGAGGCAGGCACAGTAAGCAGTGATGAGCTGGGCAGAAATACTGAAAGCTAATCCAGCCTATGATAGGAAAAAGTTACAAAATCCATCTACCAACCTGTAGTCAAAGAACAGTTCTTCGCCAGTCTGAATGGCTCTTTTAGCAAATATTCCTATTCTGTGATCACCATTAACCATCATAACTGTAAAAAGAAATTGAAACTTACATTAACACAATAATGGTAAAAATGTGTATTCTCAGTAGCCCACAACATTTCATATGTTGCTAAAAGCAAGCAGATGTACAACTTACCTTTTGCATAGCAGTTGGGATTTACTGAATGGTTTGCAAATCTAATTTTGTTGCCCTTGCGTGTTGCATCAACCACAAAATCTAGGGAGGGAAGAAACAAATGACATCTACACGTTTGTGCTTAATATCTAGAGTGCTAGGATATTAGCAGCTGGAAAAGGTAACTGTTCAGTTACCCACGTGGGAGAGCTGGCACATCATCCTACAACAGCTATATTGTTCTGCAAGACACATACTATTCCTGCTGCCCAACACTGTGCTTTCCATTTATCTCCTGCCACTGTGGCACTACCCGAGTTTCTCATTTGAAGCTCCTCTACTTTATTCCACAAGGACAAGCTCCACACGTATGCTAAGTCAACATTGACATAAAGCAGCTTTTCTTCCTGCTTTCAAGTATGTCCCATGATTTCACACTTAGCACAATCAGTATTTGTCTCTTCAAGTGGCAGTAGCCACATGCCATGTATCCGTGTGGCTTTTATCCTCCCAACATAATTAACTGCTTATTTAATTAACAGTAAAATTATCTTTGACAATGCCCAAGCAAGCCTTTTAAATTCTTTAAGCTACGTAATGCTTGCACATAGTTTTACTTCATTAAATTCTAATTCTACTCCTCTTGTGTAATAGGTTCCATCACTACTACTTAGTGATGTAGCGATGTTTCCTAACATGTAGGAAAAAAAGAAAAGCACTAGCTGTGAGTATTAGGGATCCACACACTGCTAGGAAAAGATGTGGAGAAGAACAAAAAAACTTCTCCATGTTAACCTGCAAAAGAACAGGGCTGACAAAAATGGTGACTGTGCGTATTTGATCTATGCTGCAAGGGGTGTGACTAGCACATACATACCATTATTCAAGTTAAACAGAAAGCTGCACATGTACTTGTCATATACTTTTCCTCTTCTGTCTGCCTCATCCTGAGAAATAATCTGAAAGAAATAGTACTTGTCAAAGAGACCACCTCTTCCCTTCGGTAGGCATAGCAGCTTAAGGTCAAAAACCCAGACATTCCAAAAGGTTTTTATTCTTTGCAACTGAAAATATTCTTAAACATGAAGTACTGTTTTCAGCAAGCACCCTGCACTCACCACTCAACAATGGCTTGCTCTTAGCATGAATAAGCTCTTTCAGAGCAGAAGGAGAGTAAGAGCTGCTTCTCATCTCAAAATCAAAACTGCGAATCCAATTTGGGGGTTTATTACTACAGCATGTGATTTAATGAAAATGCCTGCTGGATTTTAGTACTATACTAAGTGATTTTGCACAGAATTCCAGGCGTGTCTGAACTAAAGTTACATCCAAGACAAAAATGACATTCCAGCCTCTCATTCTCACAAGAACCTATGCCAATTTTTTGGTGACATTCCAATGTTAAGCTCCCAGCTCCAGCAGTAACTGTATATGGAGTCAGCCACATCTCTCTCTAATACCAAGTCAAGAGACTATCTCTTGGTCCCCAGCCAACACACAACTTCACCAATTAAACTCATACATAACCAGTGATCTCTGTTCTTACCTCACCACAGTATTCAGAGATGAATTCATTCTTCTGTACAGGATCTTTGATGAAAATTCCCCAGCCTGCCACATCTGAAGGTGCCAATAGCAAGTGCTGTGGGAGAGAAAACCAACAAATTTAGACGTGCCTGGTTTTTGTCTGGGCTTTTTGTTGTGGGCTTTGGTTTAAAGTATATCACTTTATGAAGTATATGCTGGGGAAGAGAAAACAAATACAAATTCTTCTCATTATCAAACACACACTAAAATTGCAGCTTGTGGATCAGAAATTGTATGTGAAGGAAAAGCCAAGTGAAGTACCCGAAAACTAGTAAAAAGTTTAACCTTGAAATGTAGGTGGTTTATATATAAACACATACACTAAAGACTTTGAACTAGAAATGTCTGCAGACAGGAGCCCACTACTGGCCAATTCAGTATTGGACTGAACTAGTTTGTGAGAAGATGTTCCTCAGGAGAAATAAACCTTGGTTGGTTTATTTAACAGAGGTGAACAGGCTTTTGAGATCTCTCTGGTAGCCTGTTTACAAGTTTGTACATTACAATCCACAAGTGAAAAAAGAAATAGTATCTATGTCTGAGCTGAAATTCCTTACGCTGATCTAAGGAAAGACTGATGAGCTATCATTTTAGAACAGCAGCCTATGCGCAAGCTGCAAGCAAAGCCTGAATGTGTAAGAGGAGATACTCTCTTGCACAGTTACACAAACAACTGACTGACACATGATGAAATGTACAGTAGAGCTTAACAGCAGCACATGAACGAGCTAACATCAGTGACAGCTACCTCCCTTTTCGTTTCCCTTTTCCTATTAGCATGAAGAAATGGAAGAAATCCCATTGTCTGGCATGAAAATATAAAGCCACCTCAAACCCAAAGCAATAGGCAGGTAACTGTACAGCTACGTACCTTTTTGGATCCTCTCTGAATGCTGCAGTTCTTGCAAGAAACATTTTTGCTGTCCCAGTGGTCGGCTGCTCCACATGTTAAACAGAGGTCAGGATCACATTCGCGTACAGCTAGGTAACATGGACACTGCTTAGTGTTGCATTGTGCTTTACAGCGACATCCAGGAAACCTATTTTGGCCTAAAAAAGAATAAATAGAAAACAAAAAGGGCAAGTATGAAAAAATGACATTGTAAAATTAAGAGAGTGCAGATTGAACAGGGTGCCCAGAGAAGTGGTGAATGCTCCATCCCTGGCAGTGTTCAAGGCCAGGTTGAACAGAGCCTTGGGTGACACGGTCTAGTGTGAGGTGTCCCTGCCCATGGCAGGGCGTTGGAACTGGATGATCTTAAGGTCCTTTCCAACCCAAACCAGTCTGGGATGCTATGATTATAACATATCTGAATATTAAAAGAAAACACCCAATAGCCAATGGTACAGGACATTCAGAAGTACTGCAAATACTTTCCTTTCCTGATTTTACTTTAGTCTTCCTCAGTTTTAAGTCCAAAGTCTATTTCTGCCTTCATGCAAATGGCTTTGTGCAAACAAAGTCCATGGTACAGACAGACTTCTAGCACAGAGTTAGATGTTTGAGACAGTGAGAGAAATTTATAGACAGTTTTTAAATGCTTTACTTACATTCTGAGCTGCACTGACAAAACTTCTCACAGAAGTTTTGAGCAATTACACATGGGCATGAGCTATCACAAGGCTGACGGGGATGATCACATGGCTGATAGTTGTAAACATGATTCGATGACCCATCTGAATAAAAATAGCAACATTTTGTAAAGTTGAAAGGTGCAAACAAACCACAGGCAGTTCCCTTCACTCTTGAAAGCAGAAATCCCCTTTTAGTCCTTTAACTAAGAAAGCCCCCAAAATTACCAAAAGAATCCCAAGGCTACAATGAGTAGTGTCAAAAAAACCAACCGCCACCAAACCAGAACTGCAACATCAGTTAGGTGTTTGTCACCATTGGTTGCCTGCTTCCTAGTGCACTTTATTATGCCCATGACTCAGTTGCTTCAAGTGCTCAGAGCCCTGCTTACTGTGGAAAACTGAACACAAAACTACAATGGTACAATTTCCAGTGTTCTGGAGTAACACTGATATTCAGCAAAGTGAATTGGGTCAAATACCCAAAGTAATTTTTACTCCGGAGCAACAGCTGACTTTCAAACAGATACACTGGCAGAACAATATCTGGTCATTATACCACTGTGCTTTCCTAAGTCAGTCTTCCAGTAGAGACAATGCTAGCATCTTACAGGCAAGAAGAGACTACCAGGGACAACTCTAGAGCTTTACCTGTAGAGCAGCTAGGAGAATTTGGTGCTATATATTTGCTGTTAATATTCCTGAGCTAGTGTTGGGTTTGCATGTGTGCATAAGAATGCTCTAGTTGGCAACCAGCAATCAAAAAGCAGACACAAACTGATTGATTGCTGATGTTGCTGTAAGTCCCAACATCTCACCACGATTTTTTCAGATAACTATTTCTGAAATAAACTTTGAAAACCCCCAAATGCTGCTTTTCACTGCAGCTGCTATTGTTAATACTTCAGTGAGAAGTACAGACCGAAGTTCATACTGGAAAGACTGTAAATTCAGCTTCCTTCCCTTTTGATTGAATTCTACAGAGCTTTTCCAAGCCATACCTTTTGTCCCTGCAATATCTGTTACGAGAGCTTACTTTTTTTTTATACCCCCTATAATCCATAGCTCCCCATGTAACATATAAAATGGCTTGAAAACCCAACCCAACCCCCCAAAAACCACAAAACCAAAAAGCAACAATAGGATCTTAAAAGTTCAGGACATAAATTGAATAGAAAGATGCTAACCCTTTTTCAGCTGTATCTTTCTGCAATGAGCAGCCCACAACCTGCAAAAACACAAAACACAAGAAGGTTGACAGGAACTCCTCCTGCAATGGGCTGGGAAAGGTAGCTGTGTCTTGCACCCCACTTGACTTAAAATGGGAAAGTTTCTGGCCACAGGAACATCTGCACAAGTCACAAGTGGTTGCAGCAGATCCTCCCTGTCCCAGTCGCCTGGTGCTGACAAGATCAAGGCTTGGCAGGCTGCTCCCTCCCCCTCCCCACACCATTCCTCTAGTCTCAGGACTATACAGATGAGCAGCCACCACCCAGCCCAGGATAGAGAGATGTTTCAATTCAGATAACCTTGAAGGAAAACCAGTAAAGAGGAGGCTGCTGGAGCTGCTTCTAGCAGGTAAAAGCAGCAGCAAAAGGAAGGACATGGAATCGCAGATATGCAAGGATGTGTTTAGGGGAATGAAGGCCTGTCAGATGCTTCCTTCACAGGACTTGGCCCCAGCACCACCCTGGTTGTCTCCTGCAGATCACAGCCAAGGGTTATGCTTCATCTGCTGAGCAATATGTATATGACTGCAGGAGATCACATCTGTGGCACAGCCACACACAACACTTCTGGTTGGACACACTTTTCCCCAGTTTGTTCTCACTGGTCAATACAGTGCTAAGCCTTTTCCCTTCTCCTTCAAACTGTATGCCTTTCTCTTGCATCCTTACAGTTTTCCTTCAGTGCCCTCTTTCTCTTAGCTCAGCCATGCTCTCTCCCTTTGCAAGAAGTGGTGGTTTTGTTGGGTGGTGGTGGTTTTCGTTGGGTTCCCCTTCCCCCAAGAATAACATGCTTTTGATTATCATAATGTAACTCATTATACTTTAAAGTTCTTGCAAGGTACAATTACCCCTTTCATTTTGTATGCATTTCAGACTGCAAAGTCTTTGGGCAGGAAATGTCTACTATTCCATGAATAGCCCTGTCAGACACAACCGAGCAAAAAGACCTGACTGGACCTTAGGTACCAAAAGAGAAACCAGGCTTAAGTATGGAGAAATCAATGGGTTTAGGTTTTCTTCAATTCTAGGCATTTTAGTTAGCACTTGAATTTCAGTGAACAAACAATCAATGTTTATACTTCTTGGGCTTTCTTACTATGCCCTATAGCAACTCTCCCATAGTCTCATGGGAGAACCCTCATTCCCTGGCCAGATAATCCACAGCTAGCTGCACCTAGACCTCATTTTCTATGCACATTAACTTCACAGTCCAAAATACTCAACACATGTACCCAGAAATCCCCAGCACAGAGCATTTAGAAAGCTATTCTGCCTTTCAGTGAATGCAACACTCTGAAAAAGTATCTCCTGCTGTAAGTACTTAAATAGGATGTTACAGCTGCTAATTCTTCCATAAAAACAAGATATCAATTTCTACTTGGGCTCCCCCCACCACACACAACAGCTTTAGGTAAACAAGATTCTCTATGCAGTTGCCTTTTCAAAGCTCTACTGTTAGACTTAAAGCTAAGTGCTTGACAGCCAACTTTCTTATAAGCCTTGGAAGGCACTCATACAAGTTAGAAACCCACAGAGGCAGACTTGTCCAAGTAACTGAGGTTGAGGGGAAGCAACAAACCCAAAGACTATCAGCATTACAGAGCGCTGCAATAAATAGATGATATTCTTACTAAGTGACTCACTTGAGAAAAAAAGGCTACCAACATACTTAGAGTTTCGAGCTGATGACTCTTGCTAAGATGACAGTTCCCATACAATTGAAAGAAGTGGTGCAATTTTGACTTGAATTACTCTAATGCACATCAAACTACTTTTCCTTTTTGTCTGTCTGGTATTTGGATTATGTACCTTATACTGTATTTTAACAGTTCTTTCATAGAAGCTTGTCTGTCAGCCCAAAATAATAAGGACCTCCTAGCATACCAAACCTTTAAAAGCTTTCTGTCTCTAGACTTCTTAAAACACCATTTAATTAGAAATCAGTATGATTTTTTTCCTTTGGTAAACACTATCTTAATACTTCAAGCATAAAATGCCACTAGCTGACTCGTGGCCACCTGAGACTTTTTGGTTTCCATGGAAAACTATAGGCTGTATGGACAAGATCATGTGAATATAACAAAGATTGCCACCATCAAAGCATTAACCCTAACATCTCATAACGGATAGAAAATCAAATACAACAGTCACAACGGCAAAGGCATCCTTTGTCACCCATTCTTTGGGCGACATGGTCTAGGGTGAAGCATCCCTGCCCATGGAACTAGACTATATTAAGGTCCTTTCCAACCCTAACTATTCTATGATTCTACCAGCATGGCTGCTCTTGTAAGAGATGGGTGTCACAGAAAGAAGAGAACCTAGCAAGGAAGAAGCTGCAGACGTACAGTGTAAGCATGAATTGTGGGGAATGACAAAAGACAGCATGAAGCAAGCTGCTAACATTGACCAATTCAACAGGAGGTTTGCTTAGCACAAACAAATAGTACATCCATTGACTAGTAGCTTTCAAAAACTACCAGGAAGCACTGCAAGTTCCCCCAGCTGGCGCACAAGCTGAAGCCTGAGTGAGTACCATACTAGAAGTGGACTACTTCAGCTATCTGCCCTGTAATCTGCTACCTCAACCAGAAACAAAATGCAAGATCTGGTCCCATGCACAAGGAAGTAAAAGAAAGGGAAAGACAAAATGGACAAAGCTCTCGTGACTTGAAGCACTGTAAAAAACAAGGCAGCAAATTGGAAACTCAGTGGCAGATCTCCAAGCAAGCAGGTGGATGTACATCTGGTTCCTGACATCTGCAGAATAGCCACCTTAGAAAACAAGTGTTTCCAGAAGCATTATGACAGAAGCTGTCAAAAATATTGTTCCTCTGTGCTAACAATCAGTGTTTTTAGGAGGCACTGCTATAAGCTAATCAGGCAGTAGGAATGCATTCTTTGGAAGAAGTAACAATAGCATTTCTTTCTCTGCACATGGATACTCTGCTACCAGAAACAGCACTGAAAACTCAAAATACGTGACCAATGATGTCAATGTATGTTAGTTAATTCTGTGCAGTGTTTGATTTTCTGGCAGCACTCAAAGACTTCTTTTCAGCCTCCCAAATCATCTTATCCAAAGCCTCTTCACCACTCTAAGACTTGGCCTTCCAACCAGGTGGCATAGAGAATATCTGTGCCAATGCCTCAACTGCATGTGCTGCCCGATAACAGTGAGACTTTAAGTATCTATTAAAGGGCACCCTGAACTCTAAGGAAGAGCTATGTGACATATTGAAACTTATGCAGTGCACAGCAGCCCAGCAGAAGGTGGAGGAAAACCAGAAAATGGGAAAAAAGAAATCCTGTCAAATAAATTTGACTAAGTAAGCGAAGAATAGGGGATGAGGGAGGGGAGGAAAACAAAAAACAATCGAGAAGCAGCATTACATGGCCCTACAATCAACAACAGATCCTTACTAACCCAGAGGAAGGACTGCTGGTTTATTAAAGCAAATATAACTCAGCTTCCAGCAATGGAAGAAAACACATACACATAACAGAATGACCATTACTCTTTCTTGGTTCAGATTTTTCTGTTGGCTTCTATATGAAGTACTTGGTCCTCCAGTAAAGCAGAGTTTTTACAAACTGCCAGGTCCAATGCATGGGATGTGCTCTGACACTTACTGGCTCTGCAGAAAACAAGTGTCTTCTCTCATCAATTGGCCTTATTGTGGCTATCTAACAAAACGGACACTGGAAGGGGGAAAAGAATATCTTTTACTACCCGAGAGGGCTGTGGCCTTGCCAACTAGTTGCTCAGTATGCCTATACAGGCACCAAGATCAGATGGGAAGAAGTCTTATGAGAAAATTTGGTATCAAATCAGTTACAAGAGGCCATTAAAAGCAGCTTTCTTACTCTAGGAGTAAGTAAAGTCAACTAAAAGAAACTTAAGAAACAGAGAAAGACTTCCAGATGGTTTTCCCAATTGCTAGTTGTGTGCCACCTTTAGAGTGCTCAGATTACAGTAGTATGCAGATGGGGTAATGATTTTCCTTTGTCAAAGACTACTGCACACAGAAGAACAGAGACAGCTGGATTGCCACATAGTCTGGAAAAATCAATGGATTTATCTCCTTCCTTCAATGAGATTTAAAAGAATTGTCACTTCAAAAACTAAATTGCTAGCATAAAAGTTTTTATACTGTTAACTAATAACAAAACACCACCAAGAAATCCCACGTAATGGTATCTGGTTTCACTTATTTGGGGAAAAATCCTAAACAACATACCCCCTAAAAGTCTCAAAACTCCTTCAAAACAGTGTCAACACGGTAACCATACAATCTATTTCATCTTAAAATACATTTGAGCCTTTTAGTAGCTCTTTTCAAATAGATGTAGTGGCACCATTTTGATAGCAAACTCTGTCAATCTGAAAGAAAACTAATTCCCAAAGTTGCACTATGGCTAATATAACTCCAAATTTAAACAGCCAAGCCCACCAAATGCCCATAAACTTGAAAACTATGCCAACAGCATTAAATAGATAGCTTTTGGTATGAATAAGATCTCTTCCAGATGCTCACTGAATCTTTTCCTAACTTGTATCAGTTGCCTCCCTGCTACAAAGCAGAAACATGCTACTCCACGTCAACAGTACCTCTGAGCCAGTAGCAGGGATTTACCTAAACCTGGAAATACTAAATATACTTAGGCAAGCTAAGAGATAAAAACTGGAAGAAGAACTGGAACAACAAACTTGGGGGAAGTAAGGGAAGTTAAAAGGAGAAATAGGAAACTTTATGGAAAAAAAGTGTACTTATTGCTCACAGAAAGAAATGCTCTTGCTAATTTTCAGTCAGCTTTTTATCTCCTATGTTTTTATCCCCAGGAATAAAACTATGCAACGTAGAGCTGCATTTTTCAAACCTCAGGATTCTCAAAGAAAAAATGGCTTTCACTGACAGACAGCAGCCACTGAGTTCACGATTTCAACAGAAATTGTTTCAGATGGTCTTTGTGGCTCAAGCAAAAGGCCTGGTTTTGTTCTTCATTGCAGCTTCACTTCGAATAACTTGTTAACCTGGTCCTTTAAAGTTCTAGTTGATTACAAAACTGAGGTGCTACCAAGGAATAGTATCTCTTAAAAGAAAAAGGCAATCCTCTAGTTTGCTAAAACGCTTTTGCTTACTGACCATCTGAATCATAATGGAAGACGCTTCACCATAAAAACCCCATAAGCTTTAATCTAGGAAATACCATATAATCATTATTGAATCCCGTTATAACAATTCTAAAACACATGATTTATTGCTGCAAACAAAATTATACCACAATATCCTGAATGTTATAACAAGCTGTGTAGAGAATTTCCAATTTAACTTAGTTCGACTACTTGCAGCAATACACCTAGAAGAACCTGGCTGTAAAAGAGGTTAAAAAAGAAGGGAGACGGTAAGAGAAGTGGAAGGTTACACTTGCCAATGCAGTAAGACTTTTGTCTGAAACCAAAACACCACTTTGCTCTAATGCTGCAAATTTTGGTTTTGGAAGCAAAAGGTGAAGAATTGCATGACTTTTTCCTCCAAAATACTTTCGGTTCTGATCCCCTGTATCTCAAATTTATTGTTATGCTAAGGTTATTTAGTAACAGATTTACCTGTGTTTCCTTTTCTTCTTTCTGGGAGGAGTATCAACATCTTCAGCAGGGACTGGAGCAATAATACTAGATTCCTTTACTCTAAACTCATACACCTAACAAGAGATACCATAATACATCCACGATAAATCTCTCACTGGTAGAAAGTTGCTCATTTTCCAAGTTAGTATGATTTCCTCCAACCAACAACTTACAGATTATATCCAGTCATAGTCTCTTTTCAAGACATTTAAAGTTGATTGTCATTTAACAACAGTCTAATTTAAGCCTCCTGTAAATTTAATTTTAAAATAGTTTTAAAACTAACTTTTATCTACTTGTGGCATGAATTCTGGATCATAGCATTCTTGGGAAAACCAAGAAAATTCATTAATTTTCTCTTTTAGTAATCAATACTAGTATTTCTGTACTTCAGTTTTAAAAGTAAAGTGCTATCATCCTTAGTAAGTAGCTTCTCTTCTTACCTGCCTGCACGTTTTGGTCCCAATCAATCTGGCAATTGCACAGAAGTTGTCATAGTAGGTGCCAATAAGAACTCTAAACATTGAGGCTTCTGCACCACTCCATTCCACGTTCTCTGGAGGCTCAATATTTGGCTTCATCTTTATTGGTGTTTGACACCTAGAATTTGCTTCTGTAATAAATAATTGAGAGTACGGGTCAATGGAAGGCTGTGTTCCAAAAATTTTATATCGCCTTTAAAAATGTGTAATAATTAATTGTCCTTAAATATATCCCAGGTTTCTGTTGCTTTTTCCTAATTCAAGTGCCACAACAACACAGCACTTTCCACGTACCCCTTCAAGAAGTTAAAAATTAGGTAACAGTAGCTACTGAAATCACATGATCTCACCTCTATATATAAATTGAGACAATCTAGAAATTTTCTTAGTCTTCTCTTTGATTAAGCTCATGTTATTAGTGTCTTTTGAGTCAGATCCATATATTCCAAACACATGGTTTCTAGGATCACTGGGCTCAACTTGTTTTTAATTCTCTTAAGCACTGCAGCAAACTGAATAAAGAAGCCTTGACTAGCCTTACCAGAGGAACTAGATGTTTCATCTTTCTTTTCTTCTTCTTCTTTATCATTATTTTCTCCTCCAGTTTCAGTTCCAGCTTCTCTATCGCTATCTGTGTCTTTAGATTCCAACACATTTATTGTTGGTGTACTAGGTCTGCTGGTGTTGTTTGGAAGTCTTCCCCTCCGGCGGCCACCGGGGCGCTTCGGTGGTGTCTTTATGCGCTCAGCGGTCAAGGCAGCTGCAAACTCCTTTGCACCTTCCTAAACACAAAACATTACCATTTTCAGTAAAAGAATTATCATAGAATCACAGAATGGTTTGGGTTGGAAAGGACCTTAAGATCATCCAGTTCCAACCCCCTGCCACGGGCAGGGACACCTCACACTAGACCATGGCGCCCAAGGCTCTGTCCCACCTGGCCTTGAACACCGCCAGGGCTGGGGCAGCCACAGCTTCTCTGAGCACCCTGTGCCAGTGCCTCAGCACCCGCACAGTAAAGAACTTCTGCCTTTTATCTAACCTGAACTACCCTGTTTCAGTTTGAACCCATCACCCCTTGCCCTATTGCTACAGTCTCTGGCGAAGAGTCCCTCTCCAGCATCCTTGTAGGCCCCCTTCAGATATTGGAAAGCTGCTGAGGCCTAAAACCTCATAGCAAAAACTGTTTTCAGCTACGTCAGGGATTGAGGGAGATCACATTCTACTTGCATACTATGTAACTTTGCATTATTCTACAAATTAATCACATACACACAAATTCCAGTTAAATGTTCTCTAACCATTAACATAAATACTTCTGATGCCATAATGAAAACAACCCCAACCCTACATTTACAAAGCATTTATGTCAGCATTAGAGTTCCACTTTCATTTTGACTGCCAAGTGAAAAACAATTCAGTAGTAAAGATCTGTTTTTCTAGATGACAAAAAAATAAGAGAATTTGCCACAGAGAATACCCTTCAAAATACAAGAACTCTCCCTTGCACATGGCACTTAAACAATATGCATTTCTGCATTTTTAAAAATGCAGTCACTGGTAATTTGTTTTCAGGTGGAAAAGGGTCTGACAATTCATAGTCAATTTCTAGATTGGAAAATTAGGTGGTTTCTCAAAAAAAATTAGGAGAAGTATGAGAGATTTGAAATTTTATTATTAAGGATTTCACCTTATTAACTTCTATCCTGTTGTTTCTTAAGAGCACAAATACTGGATAGAATATGCCTTCAGCAAACTAAAACACCTTTATCATTTTGAGTTGTAATTTTATGTACGAGAGAGCTAAAAGTCTGCAAGACCCAGACCTTTGACTAAATTGGATACAATAGCAGCAACACATTATTAGGAAGCAAATCTTTCTTCCTTACAATTATCTTAGGCTACATCTAATAGAGCTGAAATTATTGCTACTTAGACTTTCATTTGATGATTGCAAGTTACCTCTTTTCTTGCGCACAAGCTGAAGATAACATACTTGACTGCAAGTGGCACACAAGTACATGCACTATCATAGACTCAGCATGTCCTTACACTAAGTGTAGCTTGCTAGCACTAGCACTTAGTGAATTCTAATATACGAAATTATCTTACCAGATGTTGATAACAATGCGGTCCACAAGGCTTATTATCTAATGCTGTTTCTGTATTCTTTCGTTTATAAGTATTAGGAGTTGCATGGAATGCTGTTGAATCAAAACATCACATTTGTAAGTTTTAATATGAAAATACATTCAATACCTAACCTCAAACAGTACCAAAAATACAAGGTTTGCCAAGACTTTACTAAAAATAGAATAAAAATTGTAAGAAATGGAAAAAAAAACTATAAAATAAACCCATCTAGTGACATTTGACTTACCACTTAAATACAGAGACAGCGCATGGTTAAATTTTGCTTATGCCTGTTTACATCAGTGAACGCAATCATTCCATTTGTTTCATGTATCAAGGAAGACTTGCTATGTCTCTCTTCCCAACAAGCAGAACAGACTTTACTTCCATTACCATGTTAAACAGAATTATTCAGGGCTTCCCCTATTAATGCATGATCCTTTTTCAACCAGTAAGATTAAGGTGTGCAATTTCTATCTTGACAAAAAATCCAACCCCACACACTTTGGAAAGGCAATGGACCTGCTTTTCATTTCTGTTAAGAGAGAAGGACACATAAGCATTTTACTCTAGTAGTGTATCAGCATTACAAATAAGCTGACAGGTGGTAAGAGTTCAGTTCCCATATCCCAGCTGCAGGGTAAGTTAGCATTGCAAAGCACTGTGGATCAGAACAACCACAGTTATGCCTGCAACTTGCAGAGAAGTGTCTGCTCATGTATCTGAGGGACTAAATAGCTCTGTATCAGTTGCAGAACAATGACTTGGAATAGAGCAGAACTGGGCATGAGCACCTTTATAACAGTTTATAACAGAGAGTTTCCTACCCATTCCCTTTGCCAGAGCTCATCTCTACCAGCTCTCTCCCCATGCAATCTCTGCCTCCCCGCAGAATGTTTTCAGAGAGACTGACTTTCCCAGTTCTGCAGGAAGTCTTGGTAACTCCTCTGTATCCCTTACTTAACTGAAGTCTGGAAAACCTGCAGCTAGATTCTCACCAGAATTCATATTCATGGCTGCAGATTTTACCAGGAGCTTTTAGAAATACCATCGCCAGTTTTCTGCAATTCTCTTTTTAACAAGAATTCCTCCATGCTCAAGCCTGCATTTTTTTGGTTTTATATATATTAAATGCATGTATATAAATATACATATGTATGTGTAAAGAAATACTCCCCCCCAACCCAGTGTGTTAAATAGTGTCATACACAACTGCAAGGAACAAAAATAGAGACCATACTCAAGCTAATAAAATAAGAAAGACTACTCAGTTCAAGCTGCTTGTTTTCTAATGCTCCATGAGGACCTACAAAAGACACCCATCTGAAAACACTATTTCCCAGCACTGTAAAAGCACTTCTGCTACAGTTTCACCACAGTTGCAGACAGGCAGCTGTAACCCACAGTTTTTCAACACTCAGTGAATAAAAAGTGTTAATGTTTAATCAGAAAGAATGTTACCCTGTTACCCATATTAATCCATAAGGGCTGTTCCATACCAATATCACACATATTGTTCCTCTTCAATAAGCCACCACCATAGACTTTCCTACTCATCTTGCTGGATTGTACACAAGGCTTCTCTTTGCAAGTCCACTATGCTTTCAAGACTGAACTTTCCAAATGCAGTTCCTTCCCTTTTAAAGAAGGTGGGCAGATCTCACATGTTTTCACAGGCAAAGTTTATAAAGCAAATCTCATTGCAGTGATCTGGCTTCCACACAGCTCCACAAGCACTTGTTGGCACCAGTGGGGAAGGTGACCAACGGTGACGAATACTTCATAAGAGAGCTTCTCTAATGAAACCACTCCATCTTGGAACCATCACTTCATACTCCCCTCCCATAAGGTGGGGAAAGGTGTACTGGAAATCAAATCATAAATTCTATAATGTAATGCCTGTATTAATTAAACAGTATAAAAGTATCACTAATAATATTGCATCACTTTCTCCAGAGAAATACACTACACTCTGTGAATCTGGAATCACAAAAAAGTTTCAATTTACCATATATGGACATACAGATATGTAAAAATTATTTGCAAGCAAGTATAGGAATATAATTTATGCATATTGTTGCTACTCTTTCTTCCCCCACATTCCAGCTTTTACGTGATACATCACTCCTCATGCATTTCAATATGCTCATGCATTTTGTAGGTAAAATATGCTAAATAACAAAGAAAGCTTGCAATTTAATGCAAAGATATTCCACCTTTTTCCAGCTTTTAAGAAAAAAATGAGATGATGGGAGCCCCTCCACTCAAACGTGCCAGGGGAAAACACCCACACATTTCAACACTGCACCTTTAGACCTGCACAATATACTGTTTAGTTCATTCAGGGCTTTACACTCTCTTCAACCGCAAGGAAAATCATTTTGCAACGAGGCAAGAGAACAGGAAGAGATTTGCAAGCCATGACCCACATCAGACTGCTGCAATGTGCAGAAATCAAACCTATTCTTTTCACGTGTATTTTGCAGATGCAAAGGTTTCTCTCAGGAGTTCATTTGTGCTAGGTCCTTAAATGAGTGTTTAAAAAAAAAAAACTGTTTTCCTTTAGACAATGAAGAAACGTTTAGTTTGTAACACAGTGAAACAAATCAATGTTTGACTTTTTAAATCAGCAAGACCTCAAAAATACACTATCTCATACACTTAATATTAAAATATATCTTGTATTCCACTACATCAAAAAAGAACATAGTCTAAGTACTGACAGCTACAGCCGGAATCTACCTTACTGTTGTGAGATATTTTCTGGGAGGCTTCTTAGAATGAAAGGACCCAGAACTCTTTGTAAAGCTGCACTACGAGTCTTGCAAATATCAGTAGGTTTTGTTAGTTTGGTGGGGGTTTTTTTAAAATCAAAGACTACTTTGCAGACTTTCCTAAATAACTGAACTCCATATTTCTTCAATAACTTCCTTAAGAAAGTCATTCTAAAACTGCTTCACTAAGCATGTTTTCTGTCTTCGAGAGTTATTACCTGTCTCATTCCCAAAGGGGTCAATTCTGGTATTTTTCATAACGTGAAAGTACACAGGCAAGAGCTTAGCCTGAAATGTACATTTGCTTCACAGTCAAGCTATTTGGGAAATTCTCCCTACCTGATATTTTTCCTTCTTCTAAATTCTTTGTTAGTCCAGACATTTAGGCATAATTCCTTGCTGTCAGCAAATGAAGTCGGTACACAAGTTTTTTCAGTAATGTCATCACCTGCACATAAAGGGATTGCCAGGTCGTCAAGGGGACTTGACACGTTAAAAGTCTAATGATAACTTTTCCAATATTTAACCCAAATGCTCTAGAACAAAGATTGGAAACTCCATACAATAAGGCTAGTAACAAAAACGGAGTCTAAGAGGGGGGCAATTATAGAAATCAAACCCAGACCTAATAGAATTCCTGGGTTGGTTTTGGTTTTTTAATTCTCTGCCTTCTCCAGAGAAATCTAGCTTTCAAAGTACAAATCTGATCACTACAGCCCACCACATTCCCAAAGTAATTCATCAAAAAGAGCATCTGCAGAAGCCAGGACATCACTCTTTAGCTCTTGGTGATTGGAAGAAGAAGAACATAGGAACAACTGATTAGGGTGCTAGTAGAAATTTTTCTTTTTAAAGAAGCTAAATATTGAAGTTGTTACAGAAACACCGAAAACTGCTGATGAAGCCTTCCAATCACCAGAGCAGGCTTTTTTTGATGGTTACTTATTCCCAGCAAAGCATCTGATGGATTTGACCAACAGCCTTAAGTTTTCACAGCAAGCAAAGAGGTCTTACAACTGGCACTCTCAGTTTTTAACAGAAAGATCCCTAGCTCTAGACAGACACACAGACAGACAGACACACAAAGACAGGAAGCAATTCTCTCCCTTTGTTGTTACAAAAACAAAAAGCAGAAGGAAGCAATGGGTCCAAAGCAGTGATCAGGCACTGTAGTGGTGGGATTTGGGTATGTCTCCAGGGATTGGTGACTGAAGCATCGGTTTTCTACATTCAGGGTCCAGGCAGGAGGCAACATAGTGACTGTGTAAATCAAGCGCCAGGAGATGTCTTTGCAATGATCAAGTATCACATACATTTTTATCAGTGACAATGCAAGTGCTGCATAAGCTGTCATGAAGAGCATTATCATAACCAGTAGTTTCATACTGACACAAAGGTACACCTTGAATGCTTCCACAGTGGAAATGTTATTCTTCCTTCTTTCTGCTATGACCCTGAAAACCTGAAGAGATATCTTAAGGTTTAGGCCTTTTTAAGTACGAGGCATGGTTTAAAATGAAGCCTTGGACACACACCCCTTGGAAAGAATACTAACCTAAGGGACTTATCAAAAAATCACCAGCAACAAGAACTTAGGCAGTCTTTTAGCATAAACACTTTGTCTTCAATCTGAAGATTATGAACACAGAACTGAAAGGACGCTGCTAGTGGGAGAACTGAGGTCCTTCAGCACATCAGTGACATGACTCTGGACTTAGTCATTGGCTGAATCTGGCAGTTAAGAACATACCAAAATGAACAACACTATGAACCTGTCCTTCACAGCACTAGAACAAAAGAAGTCTCAGAGTTGGGGCCTCGAAACTGTGGACTCAAATCTGTAATACAGATTTTTCATGCCTACTCCAGAGTAGTAGGCATGAAAAAGTGGTCTGTGGATACTTTCAGTTCTACTTCCAACAATCTGCAAAAATTACTATGAAAGGCAAATATACATAAACTATGGAAGTAATCAAATATATGTGTACTTTAGAGAAGCCCGTATCTTCACTGGAAAACTCATACAAGTTTATAAAATTAATGAGAAAAATGGCCTAAAACCACCACTGCAGCAGTACCTAAAGTCGTCTTGGGTGCTACTAGAAGTTTGTTCTCGCTATGTCTGGACAATGCTCTCTGAAGGACTTAAAATCCAAAATCCTTTTAAAGTCATCAAACTAGACTGGCATTCAGTCACACTGCTAGACTACTGAGAGTGTCAAGAATATCTGTCAAGTCAGATGAATGGATTTGCCAAGAGGCAGCATATAGCTTCACTTCCCTGTCCTATCAACCAAGGCTACACACAGCATTTCTTAGATTGAATCATCCAGGCAACTAAGGTACTTCTAAACAAAACCTCCAGCTTCACAGAACTCACTGTGTTGAAGCTGGCTGAACAAGGCAGCAGCTATACCTCCAGAAGCTCATTGTTCTTAAACTTCAATCAGAAGTAAGAGCATCTTTCTTTGCATTTCAAGCAAGGCCTGCTTGCAAGGAGAAAATGAAACTAACAGACCTAACTCCAAAATCCACGAATACTAAAGAAACTAGGAACAGGAAAAGCTTCCCTCCACCCCACCTGCTGCAAACAATTCCAGTTCCTCCTCAAACTGAAAGGCAACTAAGGGATACCAAAAACCAGCACTGTGGAGAGCCTTCAGTGTGAAGTACAAATACAGGCATGTGTGCTAGATGAGGAGCTGCTAACAACACAGAGATTTCCAAACAAACACACATGCACACTCACAGTGGAACATGCAAATGAACAGTTGAGTTCAGTCAAAAGAGAAAATTAAGTTGGAAGAGAGGGCATCACAGTATTTAACTACAAGTCAAACCACTTCATATTTGACTGTTAGGTTCCCCTTTAGATTTGACCCCATTCTCAGAGAAAGAATTGTCTCAAGTAGTACTTCAGAAGTTCTTTTATTCTTCACACTTTGCAAATCTTAACATCATTGCTAACCCTCTTGTTAAATCCTTCCCCCAAAAGAATGGGACAACACAAGAGTAATTCAATGGAAAGGATATCACAATTTCTAAATTCAACTGTCTGAAACAATTCTTCAAATCACCATGTATAAGTAAAGTGGCTAGAAAATAACCCCAGAGAATACAAGATAAGACTGTCCATGCCTATTCATTCTCCCTGCTGGAAAATTAAAGAAGTCTGATGAACAACCAGGTATTTTTATGGAGAAATATAATTTATTCTCCATGCACAAACAGGAAATGGTAGAAAACAATGTAGTTTTCTTGAGGACTAAAAGAGAAGCAATGTTACAGGTTGGTCCAAGCTCTAAGTCTATACAAACCGCTAAGTGCAAAAAGGGCAACAAACCACCCCAAGCAGCTGCATTCAGTTTTTTGAGGTCTAGTTTTCACTGCTAAATTATGTCAACATGAACAAGTTGTTTTCATAAACTTTAGTGGTATTATTACAATTTTTTCCTTCTTTCCTTCCTTCTGTATTGCATCTTATGGTACTTTTAAGTTTCCCAACCTGCAAAAATTAAGAGCTATACAAGTGCACTATAACTGTACTTACGGTGCAAGAAGCAATCATATTTAAAACAGCGTCTACAGAAGAGGGTGTGAAAAGAGTGCAGGCTTTGCTCCCTCTGAACAGATTTAGCATTTGGTCCATCTATGTTTGGTGTGCATTCAGGAGGAAGTGCTCCAGGAAGCTGCTGCTCAGTAAGTTCTTTGTACCTTGAAAGAAAGGAAGAAATTGTATTTATTCAGTATAATGAAAAAGAAGTAATTTTTGATTCCAGTACCACTCTGCGTTTTCAGTGGCAAATTAGAAGAAATTTAAGAAGTATGTCCCAGCTAGAAAGGTCAATCTGTCAGTGACATGACAAGTTATTAATTTTACATTCATTAACATAAATATAAAATTGGCTAGAAAAGAATGCATTCACTTCCTGGACCACCATTTCCTCATATATATTACTCATTAACTCCAAAAAGATGACTTTTCTCTTCTTTTAAGAAAAGCTTTTATTTTACCACTTCAAAAAAATGTATTATGAAAAACATGCAAGCACCCACTTTTCAACAGTTTGAAAGCAAGGCTAAGAAACACCTCTGTGTTGTTAGACTTGGTGGGAACAGCCAATTCCAGTCAAGTATCACTTGCGAAGTTGCACAATGGCCACAGAAACTAGCTGCAAGAGGGGCCATTCCTAATCAACAAAGCTGTTAGCTGATTTTGAATGAAGTCCATTAAATATTGGTTAATTTAATTCCAATTAATCAGTATTTAATGAAGTCAAGGAATCTTTTGTTTCATAAAGTAGCACAGCAACATGTCTTAAGAAATACTTTCTTACTTCTCCTTCAATTCTTCTGCTGTACCCTTGTCTGGAAACATTGAGGAAATGGCTTCAAATATCTTGTCAGAAGGAAATCTCCGAGGTGGGTGGCTTTCTTTCTCTGTCAAAGAAGCAAACAAATTTGGAAAACAGAAAGGTTATATTTCTGCTCCTTTGCTACCTCTAGGAGGTGTTCAGAGAAAGGGGAACTTCGCCAAAATCCTAATAAAAAAAAAAGAAGCAAAAGGTTTTTATTTCTAAATGACCCACAAGTTAAACTACATTAAGTGATCTTTCCTGCTGAAAGAACTCTTTACTAGTAAAATTTGGAGATATCATTATTTCACCAGCAGATGGAGATGGCAATTCAGAACTCTGCCTACTTTAGAATAATGATATTGCATTTTCTGAGGAGTACCAAAGCATTTATTAGGTGGATACTCAACTCATTTTTGGTGCATTTGGCAGTCTCAATATGCAGATAAACAAAAAGTAGCAAAAGCACCTTCCATAGTATTCTCTGTACAGCTCTTGAACTAAATGACAAGGAAATGATGAAGAAAATAGTGCTACTTTAGACCTGAACACTATCAAGTAGAAGGTTTGAATAAATTTATTGAGTGATTAAAAAACAGTGTTTTTTGGTTTTAATTTGTAAAGTCTGCAGACAGACATACCCATCCTGTTACCTTCCCGATCTTTTTGCTTGTCATCTCTTTCATCAGGATTGTCATCTCCATCATCATCATCTTCATCATCACTATATTGACCAAGTGCATTGACCAGCTCAACAAATATTTCATCATTGATAAATCCACATTCTGAAATTCAGCAAAATTGGGAGTGAACAGAAAAGCACAAGGTGTATATGAAGTATTTTTAGTCCTCCCTACACTTGAATTCAATTATGTATATTGAAAACGCTGTAATTGATGAAAAACGATTTTGTGGGTTTCCCCTCTTTGTTTCAGTGTATGAACTGAGAAGAGTTAAAAATACTCAGTATTTATTTCTTAGACTGACAGCTGGGAAGGGGAGAAGGAAACATGTTGAAATTTCTCTGTTCCCGACTCCCTGTGCTTCAGTAAGCATAAAGAAATATCTTCTTTCTAGCTAGACTGTTTCCGAGATGTTATGCCAGAATCCCAGTTCCAACACGGTTGGGTTAAGGCAGCCTGGAAATATATGGAACAGTCTATGAAGCTATACATGGATAGCTAGGGAATCCCCAAAGATATTTTTGGTTGGTAGTTCCATTGCATTCAGTTCCCCACTACACACCCCCTGGCAAGGTGATAAAAAAAGAACACAGTTAAATACAAAAAATTCAAGAGAAAACTGAAAGACATAATGCTGCATGTCTGCTTATTAGCTTATATTCTGCTGTGAAATTCAGAGGGCAGCAGAGACAGACAATAAGGCATTTCTGCAGAGAGAAAAATCATAGTTAGTGTTGACAGACCATTGTTATTTCCAAAAAATAACCGGGAACTATGAGGGAAATGCAGTGCTTATCACCATCCTTTTGAACCCGGATTGGGGTTGGATGTCAAACTATAACTAATAGTTTTATTCCTATGTAGACAATGAAAACAAGCAGGTACTTAATTTGGAAGTTTTAAACAGAACTTTTAATATACATGCACAGGTTAGTATACATTTCTTTCCCAAAAGTGCAATTACAGAGCTAATTTACAATTCTGACTCCTGCGTGGGAATGCCTTTGGATTAGATACCCACAGCATTTACATTCAATGACAGCCACACAATAGTAGTTATTGGGAGACTAAGAAAAAAGTCTTTCTACTTTTGATACATAGTTTTGAAGGATCCATAAGAACAGTAATTGCCATCATTAATATGGGACTCAAAGGCAGTGAAACAAAATCAATTGTAAAGCTAGACTCAATAATAAATCAATAGTAGAAGACATTTACTAGTCATGTCACCATTTTGACATAACCAGTTCTGACAGGGATGTCAGCAATCAGTAAATCTGTAAAAATATCCAAAGGCAAAACCCCATGAAACATTTCATGTTCCTCATAAAATTTAAAGGCAGCAGCTGTCCTGAGGACATTAACAAGACTGCTACAGGACTGAGTAGTATTTATTATTGAACCTCAGGCTTAACCTTCGTGAGTGGCACACCGTATACTCAAAACCGCAGTTCTCTCAGTCACTCCAGCATTAATAGGAATATAATTAATTTTAAGAAACAATGCCACATTTAGGGAGGAGGAAAGTGGTGGGCAATGTTTCTGTGAAGGAGGAAACGGCAGTCAGAGAAACCTTTACAACTGTTAAGTTCAGGTTTGTATAAGCTAGTTCTGAGCAGGCACATAGAGCAAGTGAAAGGTTGCTACTTCACTTAGACTTTAGCAAACTAACAGGCAAATAAAATCACATGTACTCCAGCTCCCACGCAGAAGAGGTAAACAACACCTAGGAATATATACATATATATAGTGTACCAACAGAAAGACACAACTTTGCTCTATAAACTGACTTATAGAAAAGAAGGTTTTGAAAGGAGGTTTTTAAATAGCTGGTAATTTCCCTAAAGGAATAAAAAAAACCCAAAACCAAAACCCACAAGAGATTATTCTATTAAATCACATTTGCAAATATCACTATCAGAGTTTTGCATACTGCTCCTGCCACGTTCTGCTAGGCAGGATACACATAGAGAAATTACACTATTATATTCTAAAGCTCTGAGCACAAAATTGAAGACCAAGAACTTCTCCAAGTTGCATCTAGGCATTATGATCACAAAATGGTTTTGGCTGGAAAGGACCTTAAGGCTCATCCAGTTCCAACCCCCTGACATGCGCAGGGACACCTTCCACTGGACCATATTGCTCCAAGCCCCGTCTAACCTGGCCTTGAGCACTGCCAGGGACAATGAACCACTGTATAGTTATGGGGAAAAGTTGAAGAGTTTAATTTCCCTGTAGTGCTACTATACCACTTCACAGCCTTATAAAAATGCAAAACTATTTATTTAAATAGGAAGTCTTATATCCAATGTTTATGCAACATAGGGATTCTAGAGATACTACTGTAATAATCAAGCATCAGGCCTTAACAAGCAACACCAACAACAGTTATTTATGTAGGAAGAAGTGATAAGTATACCTGAGTGTTTGGGCTCACCTCTGTCTCCATGCACTTTCCCATCATAGTTCTTGATCAGTTCTTCAATAAAGGTACCATCCTGGTCAAGCACTTCATCTCCCATATACGGAATGTTATGTAAAACAGTTTCATCCTCTACCTAGTAATAACAGAATCAAACCATTTTAAATTGCATTTTCAATTGAGCGTTTCTGCGTTGCTATTTTCACAGTTAACTAACTGGCTTCACTGCTTTAGCATATTTACCATTAAGTCGATAAATAAAACAAGACCTTCATCTTTGTTCAGCAATTTTACATACTAGTGGTGACTAGCTCCAGATACTGAAACTAGTACCTAACATGCAGGTTAGCCGGGTGTTTCCACAAAGCTTCTGCTACTGAACCACACTAAGCTACTTAGCTTTGGGAAGCCTGCATATGATAAGTTCATTCTCCCTGCCCTGGTTCTCTTCCACAGTAATGTGCAATGGAAACCTCCCCTTCATTGCTTTGCCAGAGATAAGAAAAATATGATACAAAAAGGCTCTAAATTCAAGTTGTCTAAACAGCAAGCATAAAAACATGCCTCACAATTTAATCTGAACTCCACTGTCACTTTTTTTTGTGTCTGTATATAGACTAAAAGAATTAATACTCCCATGTTTTATCATTAGAATTTATGGACCTCAATTCTCAGTTGTACCCTCCAATACTGCAGAACCCCCTTCTATTGTTAAGAAAATAAATGTAAATGTTCCTGCTGATCATGATTCTGCAGTAGTGCAAACTATCCAAACATTGATGAAATAAAAGCAAGTAGAAAAATGTGTGGAGGAACTCTGTACATATGCTGATAAAACAGGTTATTTAAATCACTTTGCTATTATCATAATAACCTGTCAGCAAAGGTGATCATATATAAAATGCTGTGACAAAGATTTGTAATAAGCTAAGCTTTTCAAACAAGTCAAATGCCTACATGAGAAATCTAACATTACGGCTTCTACACACAGTGAAGCTAATCAGAAGAAAAGGCTATACTCAGTTGCTATGCAAGAATGACCATTATTGTGGGGAGCCTATTTCAGGATTAAGTTCTCTTTATTCCATAAGAATTACTGTTCTGCTGCAGGTTGATTGCATAAACACATGCATTTCGCACAGAAAACATTTCTCATTACACTAATTGTATGCTTCTAAATACATCTACATTTGTTAACTGCCACAAAGAACTGGTCAGATGAATTCAATAAACTTAGGGTGCTTGTTACAGCAAGGTTTTAGACATTATTCAGTTCACTGAGAACTGAATTTGCCATCTAAGTTACTTGGTTTTGTTATTGTATTGAGGGCCCTATTTCTAATTACTACTGCCTATTACCAATACAGAAAAGAAGGAGCTTAACTAGCAACAGATTTTTGCTGGTTTATTTCTTCTATACATTTCTCCTCCCAGAACTTTATAAACTTACCATAAAATTCTGTTGAAGGGGAGACCAAGAATACATTATAGGCACAGAAGCAACAGCATTGAGAGTCTTCAATGGGATGACTTGTTTTGGAAAATCTATATCGCTGGTAACAGAGCACTGAAAAAAAAAAAGAGGGTGAAGTTACACTTACATAGCAACAATAGAAACTGAAAGAAACAGAAAAATAATATCACAGTACACCGCTCTATATTGTACAAAATTCAAAGTGTTTGTCAAAATCAGCCATATCAGCCTTTGAAAAATGCATCAGAGTTTTAGGGTATAACAGTAAGAATAGATTTAGCAGGAAAAGAGACGCAATAATTATTTCTGTGTCAATACCTTTGTTAATAGATCACAGGTTTTTTTTCCCCACTTACTAATAAGTGGCTGTGATAATGTTTTATTCAGAGCATTCAACCTGCAATACAAATTATCTTTGGTTTCTTCAAACAGATTTAGCACCTGTTGCTGCTAATACTCTCACCAATGTTAAGAGTATTTACTCAAGCCACCAGAGAAGCAACTGAATTCCCCTGGCTCCAGAACAATACACTGCAGAAATCACTTATTATTTATGGGCTTAAAAAATTTAAATTTTACTTTAACGCTAGCAAGATTTCTATGGAAATAAAGTCTCCATGTCTTAACACCTGCCCTGTTTCCCCATTATGCCTGTTTATCTTAACATCAAGCGTTCGATTATGCTCACCGTTTACCAAGGAAAAATGAAAATTAACTCTTAATATGCAACTCTGGATATGCCAATGATTTTTTTCAGCTCTAGGACTTGACTTTTATTTAGATTCAGAGGTTGTATAGCCTCCAAAAGATAAACATGTCATAGAAACACAGACAGCTTCTAGGTTATTCTTGCATCTATTCAACAGCTAACAGATACAGATCAACTTTTCTCAAGTACTTGGACAGCAGTATGGAGAACTCTGCAAGAAAAGTTACAAACAAAAGCAGACAAGAACATACAAAGCTAGAGAAAGTACAACAAAGAGGATTTGGAGGTAGGTAAACAAAGTTTAGAACAGCTATCATAGCTACCTGAAAGGAAAAAAGGAAGTGGAGACAAAAGATCTTTCTCCTTTCCAGAAGGGAAAGATGAACAGAGCTTCACATTTCTAAAGAAATACACAAAGTAATGTAACAAACAGTATACAGAGACAGTACCCCGGTAGAATGACACAAGCCAGATTTATTTCTTTTTTAATCTGCAGCACATGAAATTAGATTTTTGCTGTGGATACCAATACTCAAGATACTGTCCTATGCTAGTGCTTTATTTCCATTTCAGGTTAATGTTTAATTTTTTAGCTAGCAGCCATCTAGCATAATTTTCATGTATTTTTAAAAGGAAAATACAAACTAAAACAATTATTGCTTTTATCTTTGGAACTGGAAGTCTCAGCCTGACAAATGACCTATGTCAAAATGATTGTTTGGTAGCAAGCCTCAGTCACATTGCCCCATTGTTTTGGGATAGAATTCAGCTTAATGCTTATGAGGTTAGCACAGAACATGTTATGGTGTCTGGCTGATGCTGACTGGACTATCCACTGGCAAAAACCTATGTCACCAGTGATGTCCTGCAGGCATCACCAAACACATGGAGGCTCTCACAAAACCTTTCTATCAGGTCACTAAACTTCTAGCCAGTGGCCTCTGCAACTCTGAAGAAATTCAGCATATTAAGAAAAAAGATTATTAAAGGAATTTTTTTAATCCCCCACCATTTTTTATTCTTTTTTTGTCTCACTTCTCTCACTATAAATTATGGCAATCCTAAATCAAGCAGTGGAGTTCCAATTCGTGAGACAGAGCCTGGATGTGAATGCAGTAATTAGCGTGCTCTAGCAATTCAGGCAGGAAATCAATTCAGGCAGGAAATTAACATAAAATAATAGTGAATCAAGCTAAACAACAAAGAAAATAAAGAGGAATGGTAAGGAATGATCATCCAGTAACACACACCAAAAAAAAAAGTGAAAACTGGATATATACCCTATATACACCTGATATATACCCTCAATTGTCAGACATTCTGATCCTATAGTGTTATATAATAGGTAAGCTGTACATGACTAGTTGCATATTCAATCATGTTTAAAAGAAAACACTTCAGCGAAGGTCATTGCCTGTTTGCATTTAATCACGCATGCACACAAATGCACCTCTGTGACACACACACGCCCTCAGTTCCTCAATAAAACTTTCGGAAAATCTGACAAATTTCCTTGAAGAGAAAGTGGTTTGGTTTAGGTTTATGAGGGTTTTTTTTTTACCCTGTTCACAGTAAAATCTTTTCATTCTCATCCTATTGAACTAAGTTAGCTTTTCAGATTATTACACATGAAACATCAAACCAGCTTAGTTTGGAGAAGTGCCTAAAGAGCAGCTGAGAAATTAATGAGAAATTAACCTGGGCTGAACACAAAGTTGCAGTACACTTAAACCACTGCTCGGGCTACCAACATGAAAGCCAGTTTACGTGCTCAAACTGCATCACCATAATGGAAGTGGATTTCATAAATCTGATGCCCAGTCTGCTTGTGCAACACAAGGGTGCATCAACTCAACTAACTACTTTCAGAACCTCTGTGGTTAAATTACTTTAATAAAAAGAAGATTTTGTCATGTGGGTATGTTTCACAGCTTTCATGTGTTTTAGCTCAATAAGAACTAAACTAAATACTCATTTGTTCTATTGGGGGTCAACTCCAATATGAGCAAGATTAAACTCCCAGTATCAGTAAGGCAATTAATCAGTTTGATTAAAGGATGCTGCAGTAAGATCTGAGCATTACCAGAAATAAAGAAGTTTCACTTGTGTGTATTAATCCAAGCTAGGTAACCTACTACATATTTATTGCTTTCCAGGAGTCATATGATTGAAGTAAATAACAAATTCTTTAAGAGACTCATACAAAAAATATTTAGCTGCCAAGTCATGCCATGCTGGAAAACATAATAAAGAGGCAACTTTCCAGTAATAAACCAAAAACGTGTTAACAACCTTGTAAGTGGGATTACCACAACACATGTTAACCAACCTCCCTGGTCCCGCGCAATGAGCTCACAGAAGTCATGATGTGAACAGGCTGTATCCTACGTTGTTTCCATTCTTGATTTAAGATTTCTGTTCTTTCCAGGATCTTCTGACGATTAGAATTAAACATACTCTAAAAATTAATCACAATTGTAAACGTTACAAGTAAATCAAAGACTCCAAATTCAGCTGCTAGCATCTTAAGGAATTATAACATTTACTAAAACAATGAATAAAACTAGATAGGATGCAAAAAGTGGCCAAAACTCAAGATGTCCAAATTTCATTGAAATGCCACCATCCCTATCTTTGACTCAACCCATGTTTTCATGTTAGAGACCTACAGGTTTAGCATGGAATTAAATTCAAAATGGAATTAGAAAGAATATGTGGATAAAGAAGTTGCCGTACTTGCTCTCCACCATCTTTTCTGACACTTAGCATGCCTGATTCCATCACATATGAATGTATCATACCTGTTTATAAGATCAGAGTTAAAACAAGCTTTCAGAATGTTAACAAATTATCTAGCAAAACTGTTAGTGTAGGTGTTAACTGCAGGACAACTCAAACTTCAAAAGATCAGGTTTTGTATCATTTTTCAAGCAAACAGAGCCAAAAGGTGACAATACCTTTACTTCATCTGCACGTCGGAACCTCTTGAGCTGCCTCAGTCTCATGTATTCTGATTTCACACGTTTTCGCCAACAAATTGGTCCTTTCTCAGATTTTTTTCCGGTTTGACCCATGATTATCCTGCAAAAGGCAATGTGATGTTAACCTTACTGTCTCTGACACCACTGCTTACTGAGCAGGTTAGAGTGAAGTTAGGTAGGATAGAGAAATTCATGTAATACCTTTCATACTGAATTCCTTTAATTCCTTTCACTAAAACACTTGCAATCCAACCCCAATCCAAAGAAAATAAGTAATATATACTTGAGTCATAGACACCAGGATTTTAATTACAAATCAGTGAGACCCTTCATATTTGCTTTAAGCACTTCTAATGCCTCTATACAGAAAGATACCTAATTGATCTAAAAAGGACTCTTCATCAAGGGCTGTAACATTAGGACAAGAGGTGATGAGTTCAAACTGAAACAGGGGAAGTTCACATTAGATATAAGGAAGAAGTTCTTCCCTGTGAGGGTGGTGAGGCACTGGCACAGGCTGCCCAAAGAAGCAGTAAATGCTCCATTCCTGGCAGCGTTCAAGGTCAGGTTGGACAGAACCTTGGGTGATATGCTCTAGTGCGAGATGTCCCCACCCATGGCAGGGAGTGAGGTTGATCTTGGAGGTGATCTTGAGGTTCTTTCCAACCCAAACCAGTCTATGATTCTATAAATTTAGATTACCACTGCAAAGATACACACTGGAATCCTTGCAGTCTCATAAATCAAATTCTGTACAGTTCTGCTTCTGGTAGACAAACCTTCCCCTCCTTGCAGAAGGGGTCTTCTTCAGCAAGATATCAACTCCTTGAATAGACTTCTGGAGTTGATTTCAAAGGCAGAGAGGTACCCCAAAGTACAGTCCTCCTATCCAACCACTCAAGTGTCAGAAAGTTCTAGAATCCAGATAAAAAGAGTTTTGAATAAGCCAGAATAAGACAACTTGCTCTTTTCCCAAGTATCCTACAAAACCCCAAACTGTGCAGTTGACTGCACACAGAACACTGATACCAGCTTTTACTGATCACCCTCTTAGTACCAAGTGCTTCATTTTAATGTTACAGGACTGTTGGCAACATGGCTGTATTTTTACATTATAATCCAAATGTATTGCTAGAATATGCCAATCTGCGCAGCATTTTTCAAGCTCCATGACCGTATGCTGTGACTATGCTGGCAGTGACTATTTTGACAGCATCCTGAAACAAAACCACAACATCCAAGACTGGCTTCCTCTCAAGAGCTGTACTATAACAATCCACAGTATTTCACTGAATAGCTCAAAATAGCATTCACGATAGCCATTGTGGACTGAAAGGCTGAAATGCTGAATCGCCCAAGGTTAATACATTCTCAAACAATCATAATCGATTTGAGCACAGAAACACAGAATCAACCAGGTTGGAAAAGAGCTTTAAGATCACCAAATCCAACTCTTACCCCACACAACTGCCAACTCCACCACTAAAGCATGTCACTGAGGGCCTTGTCTACATGGTTTGTGAACACTTCCAGGGATGATGATTCCAGCACTGCCCTGGGCAGCCTGTTCCAATGCCTGAGCACCCTTTCAGTGAAGAAATTTTCCTAATATCCAATCTAAACCTCCCCTGGCACAATTTGGGGCTGTTCCCTCTTGTCCTGTAAGTTGTCACTTGGGAGAAGAGACCAGCCACCTTCTGGTTCCATCTTGTTTTCAGGTAATTGTAGAGAGGAATAAGGTCTCCCCTGAGCCTTCTCTTCTCCAGACTAAACCCCCCAGCTCCCTCAGCTGTTCCTTATCAGACTGGTGCTCAAGACTCTTCACCAGCTCCAATGCCCTTCTCTGGACCTGCTCCAGCACCTCAATGTCTCTCTCGCAGTGAGGGGCCCAGAACTGAACACAGTATTTGAGGTGCAGCCTCGCCAGTGCCCAGTATATAAGGATGATTGCTTTCTTGGCCCTGCTGACCACACTAGTGCTGATATAGGCCAGGATGCCATTGGCCTTCTTGGCTGCCTGGGCACAAGCTGGCTTATGTTCAGCTAGCTGTTGACCAGCAACCCCAGGTTCTTTTCAACCAAGCAGCTTTCCAGCCACTCTTCCCCAAGCCTGAAGCATTGCATGGGGTTGTTGTGGCCCAAATGCAGGACCCAGCACTTGCCTTGTTGAACCTCATACAATTGGGCACAGCCCATTGATCCAACCTGTACAGATTCCTCAAAGAGTTACACACCTTCTAATCATCAAGGTAGGTAAAGACAAACTAAGGTGTCTTCTTCAGGCTGGAGTCAAATGCCCAGTGCTTTCTCCCCTGCCCCTCACCACAGCTACCCAGCAGCCATGTGTACAGTTTTATCCAAGTTATTGAAAGCTCTTTGCTGCTGTAGGCAGAGCTCTATTTTCAGCAGTTTTGTAGAAGTCAAATTTGCGTTCTATCAGACTTTATGTTGATGCGGGGGGGGAATCAATTATAAACCTGTTTATTCTCCATACATGTTCATTTACACTGAACAAAACGTAATAGTCTGTGAGAGCCTGACACCCATTTTTATGCAAGGCATTAAACAGTATTTTGTAAGAAAAACTGTTGGGTTTTTAGATTTGAAATGAGAATGAATTAACAAACAAATGGCAGAACTGCCACCCCAAATGATGGCAAATACCCTTCAAGGAAAAAAAGTATAAAAATAAGCTTCACCTAATGCCTTAAGCACATAACTAGGCAGAGGGGAGGGACAAAGAACAATCAGAGGGAGGTAAATCTAGAGCAGTATTAAAACACAATTGCTCTGCTTCCATGCCTCAAGGCAGCAAGTTGAACCAACCTCTGTCTCATTTGCCACAGCACCAGTGGTTACAAGAGATAAAAAATATAGATTAAAAATATCCTCCACCATTCATGTTGGAGCACACAGTGAAGACAATTGCTGAATCAAAGTACACTACAGTATTGATTAGAGAACAGCATCAAAGCATTATGTAGTGCAGGAAATGCATATTATATTATATTATATGCTAACCTAAGCAAAGCAAAAATATGGAAAAACATCCCAGTTACTGGACATAAATTGGAAATCGAGTAAGTATCATTAAATAACAGAAAGACAGAATTTCTGTTTAAGTAATACAAAACAGAACATCAAAATCACTTCAGTTATGGTCCAGCCAAAAGACACGGACAAAGTACCAATGAACGCAAAAGATAAACGAAAGCTCAGCTGACACTACTGAATCCCATAAAAACAAAGTATAGATTATGTTACTTACTCCAATACAGCATCAACCATAGCCCCTCTTATTCTAGTTTCCTGAAGAATAACAAATGACTCAGGCATAAAAAAAAAAAGCTTTCTTAACCAAAATTAAATTGCCAGATAAGCCCTGCTCATCAAAATCAGGTCCATGTGGAAATCATACATAATTAGATTAAAACCAACAAAACAAACAGAATTCCCATCTTTCTTTCATACAACTGAAATGCAGTTCCCAGAAGACCCCGCAAGCAAGGATTTAAGACCTGAAACATATCCACATTAAACAAACAAATCCAACCTATTCCATTTTTCAGTAATGAACATCATTGTTACCTGCTGTATTAAAATGATGAGTAAAATAATATCTCACAAGAAGGTAAAAACTTTTTTTTAAAACAACATAACTTATGCACAGTCAGGTCATTTATCTAAAAACAAATGGGACTTACAAGAACACTTTCCTCTTGTGCTAGTTTCAAACTGCTATCTGGGGCACAACATAAACAACAATTTAACCTTCAAGGCACCAAGTAACGAAACACAGAGAATTAAAAGATGCATTGTTGTTTTTAGCAAGTTATAGCAAGAAAAAGTTCTTCTAGGTAAAGTAATAATGTTAATGAGCAACAGTCAGTGGGATACACATAGTACATTAAGTCAAATTTTGTATAAAATTAGAAATGGCCTCTTACATGCCAAGTCCGTATTAAGAGAAAGCACTGAGTGGGAAGGAAATATATGTGTGTATTAGTTAAAGAAAAATTACAGATAAGGAAAAACCAAAGTGTCCTGGATGCATGTTTGTAAAACATTAATAAATTTCAGGGATTTTTCAAGATTAATGAATTCTGAATCTGAGCAGCAGATTTTTAAACCTAATGATCCATATTTGTATGTTTAGGACAGTTTGGGTTGGAAGGGACCTTAAAGCTCATCCAATTCCAACCCCCTGCCACGGACAGGGACGCCTTCCAATAGACCTGGTTGCTCCAAGCCCCATCCAGCCTGGCCTAGAACACTGCTAGGGGTGGGACAGCCACAGCTTCTCTGGGCAACCTGTGCCAGGGCCTCAGCACCCTCACAGGGAAGAACTTCTGCCTTATATCTCATCTCAATGTCCTCTCTGTCTTATGCAAGACATTAAACAATATTTTGTAAGAAAAACTTTGGGCTTTTAGATTTGAAATGAGAATCTAATGCCATTCCCCCCTTGCCCTGTCACTACAGGTCATTGCAAAAGCCCCTCTCCAGATTTGTAGGCAACAACACCAAAGGAGAATTACACTATTATTAACACATGTACTGTGGTAAGAGGCAATTGTTTTTCTGTCCTTAATCTCAGAAGGGGGGGGAACAAGCAAACACAAGACAGAAGGGGGGTGGTGGGGAAGGTGGCAGGAAGAGAACAGCATATTCCTAGCAGGCAGAGTTAATTCTCACAGTGCAATCGATCTCTAATCTTCACATTAGGACTACAGAAATTGTCAGTGGCATTTGGCTAATGTCGTCAATTCAAAGGTTGCCTCCAAAACTATACATTTAAGAAACTAAACCTGAGAAAATAGGATAAGAAGTTTCCCAGACAAGGACAGCTCATGCTGGTCAGGGCTGGGAGAGCCAAAACAAAAAGGACTCAGAAAGATTACTCCTACAGAAGGGTGCTGGACACTATCTCCATCCCTGAAAGTAAAGGCAGTTTGGAGAATTAAGACTTCAGGGAAACAGCAACAAAAACTAATCTCTGGGGGTAAATTCAGGATTGTAGATGCTGTCTCCAACCTACTATTGATCCACCTGCACTAGTACCTAGGTGTAAGAACAATTTTTCCCAAATCACTTTCTTCC